TAATAATTCTTCAGGACATTTTTTATTTTTTTTAATCATTAAAATGAAAAACACTAGGTATTTTCTAACTTAACTAACTACTTAATAAATGTTAAACTATCAACATAACACCCTTAACTTCTAAGAACTTATAAAAAGCAAAGAGTCTATAAGATTACCGATAAGTAAATATGAAATCATAATTATTCAATTTCAAAATTGTGCACAGGCGAAACATTTTTTTCTCTCGATAAGAATGATTTAAATATAACGTTGTGTTTCTAAATAATTTATGAATTCGTTACTATTCTATTTGTTTGGAAGGAATGCAGTTATTTACCTCCTCAAGAAGCTGTTTCATGTACCCTTCTGAAACTATTTTAATAGTTCCATCCATTAGGAATCTTCTAATCTGTGGTATATTTTCTTTTATTCCACTTTTTATTTTCAAAGACGAAAATAGCTTGTTTTTTCTCCTTGAAAATACAATCCGTAAGAATGGCAGTGGATTTGAGATATCCTTGGTTAGACCAAAGGAAGTCCAAACATGTTCAAAATTAAATGCCTCTATAACTTGCACGGGAATTTGAGGTGAAGAAAGAAAGGTTTGGCTGGCGATATATTGTAAGCCGGGTCAACTTTTGCCTAACTCAATTTTTTTTTGTATCTTCTGGGAAATAACAAAATGATTAATATTTTTAAACCCTTGCAGAGGGTATTATGATTTCAGTCAGAAGTTTGCAACGCAGTGAAGGAGACGTTTCCGACCCCATAAAGTATATATATTCTTGATCATTTTTCTATTTCATTATCTATTTTTAAATATTTCCGAATTTCGATTTTTATTTTAAAAAGATCGAACTACTATAACATATAGCTGCCATAGAAACGATCGAAAAATTAACGTGAAATAATAGGAAATTTAATATTTTGGCGATTTATAAATTAATAGAATGATCTGCTTCCTTCCTACTTCCTTTCTTGTTTAAAAAGTTGCATACGCAAATACCTTTCGCAGGCATTACGATAAGCTAATCGAACGCCATTAACGTTCGAACATTGTTGTTTTATATCATTCAGAGCTATTATTATACCCGCTACTCGTAGAGTAAAAGGGTATATTGTATTCGTGCAAAAGTATGTAACAGCTAGAAGGAAGCATTTCCGACCCTATAAAGTATATGTATTCTTGATCAGGGTCACTAGCCGAGACGATATAGCCATGCCCGTCTGTCAGTCTGTCTGTCCGTATGAACGCTGATATCTCGGAAACTATAAAAGCTAGAAGATTGATATTTTGCCTGCAGATTCTAGGAGTTCCTACGCAGCGCACGTTTGTTTCAAAAGGGTGCCACGCCCCCTCTACCGCCCACAGTCGCTTATAAACGCTTTTAAAAATTTCAATATTTCGGAAAATTAAAAATTCAGTTTTATGGTGTTTATCAATACCTATCGAAATGTAGAAGAAATTTTTTAAATCGGACCATTCGTTAAAAAGTTACGGCTGATCAAAGTTTTTATCTCCATCTCATTCGCACTCTTTTTATCTGAGTAACGGGTATCTGATAGTCGGGGCACCCGACTATAGCGTTCTCTCTTGTTTTTAAATATGCCCCTTCCTCGTTTTCATGATTATGTTCAATTAATTTTGTAGGCAGTTCGCTGGTACCATTTCCAAAAGATTTAACTGAACGCGGCATGTTTTTTTCGGCATTGTAGTTTTTATACCCTTGCAGAGGGTATTATGATTTCAGTCAGAAGTTCGCAACGCAGTGAAGGAGACGTTTCCGACCTCATAAAGTATATATATTTTTGATCAGCATCACTGTCACTGTCACAGTCGGAACGAGCCGAATCGAACAACTATATCATATAGCTCCCATAGGAATAATCGGGAACAAAAATGTAAAAAATATTATATTTTGGGTGTTTTTAAACATATAACCTCTTACTTTTGGAAATACCATTTTTTATCCAATTCTGAATTTCGAAAAAAATTATATCGAAATCGGACGACTATATCATATAGCTGCCATAGGAACGATCGGAAAATTAATGGAAATATAATAGGAAATAAATTATTGCTTCGTTCGTTTTTATTGTATTATCTTCTACTCCAGGATATAACTCTTTTTAAATATTTTCGAATTTCTATTTTAATTTTATCAAAATCGAACTACTATATCACTAATGTGCATTTTGTTCTATCGAAAATTTGCCATTCGTGAAAGAAAAAAATTTGCCGCTCAATTATTTTTAAAGTTATGAGATGATTATTGATTATAATCAATAATTATTGATTAGTAGCAGAACACCCCCACTAAAGTTCAAAATTTCCAAAATCTTTTTTAATGGGAATTTGGGGGATGGAAATTTGACCGCGGGAATTAAGGCCGCGGAGAATTTTCTTCGGCGGCCTAAATTCAGTTACTAAAATAAATTATGGCCGCGATAATAAAGTGAATTAAGGACGCGCGTCCTTATTTCATTTTAGTATCGCGGCCATAATTCATTTTAGAAAACAAATTTATTATTTAGAGCTCTTCTGTTTTTTTTTTTTTTTGAAAATTAATATTAAGTAGGTATAAATATGTTATAAGAAAAGTTAGGAATTTGTCTTCATACAAAAATTTTCCACAGGACCGTTGCAGTAGGGACACTTTAGTTTTGGCCTGTTATCTTCGCCTAATTTACGCTCTTCAAACTTGGCCAGCTTTTCCACAAAATTCGAATGCCAATTTTCCCAGCATTTTTCACAAATTTCGATATGCCCACATGGTTAAATTGTTACTTGGCTTGGAACATCCATACAAATACAACAAGGCATTAGCTTTAAGGCTGAGAATACATTCGCCATCTTTGTATCGTCATCAGAAAAGTCGAAATTTTCGTTTTCAGGTCCATAGTTATCAGTAAAAAAATCGTCCATTCCTTTGCATATTTGTGATTTCGGATACGACAAGCGACTTAAAAATATGGATGCAGTAATTTTTCCCCTGTCTAGCTCTTCGCTTGCATTAGCAATTTTTTCAGCGCGATCCTAAAAAAAAATGTGAATTGAGCAATTGTATTTAAATGTGAAACATTAAAAAATACCTTATAACCACGTTTTTTTTGTGGTGCAGTTAAGCCACCACTTTTTAGCAGCAAGTCAAACTCTCGGGATTTTGTAAACTCATAGGATAAAAGGTACCCAATAAACTTAAAAAAATGTCCGTGTTTCATTCATCTTTTTCCCAGCACTCCATTCTGGGCCTCAAGCGATCCTGTTGTTCTTGTGGACAATTTAAAGACAGAAATATTTTCCGGTCCCTCCTTAGATTCAAGAAAAATTTATTAAATTTAACAATTTCAAAAAAAGGAAGGGAAATACCTTTTGAATCCATTGCTTTTCAAAGTATTTGAGAAAGTTATGAAAATCTTTATCATAACCCGCCTCTGATTTTACCATTTCAAAGCAGGGAATTATCTCCGAAGCTGGTAATAATGGAAGGCATAACAATTTATAATATGCGACTTTAATGTTTGCATTAGTTTTTATAAGGTGCGGAAGATTCATTAACTGACTCGCTTTGCGTTTAGCCGCCTGACAAAAATGAAACCAAAATCTTACGATTTAATACTGGGATAAACTTGACGAAAAGCACTTCGCATTGCTATTTCATAGTCAGTCATCACCGAATTCCCACTCATTTGAAAGATTTCCTTCAATGTTTGGAATAAATGAAGATAGCACTTTTCCGATTTTCTTGACATCAACACATAAATAAATGGTAGGGGAGAGGTCTGTAGGTTGAGACACCTTTTGTTTTTAGTCTCCCATTTGGACATTCGCTTATGAAACTTCACGTGTTAGGTACCGATCGAAAGCTTAGTCTTTTAGCTGTAAAAAGTGAAAAGTGCCAAAAAATGACAATTTGAAAAAGAGGTGTGTAGGTTGAGACACTTTTTAGAACCATAAAATAATTATGTAAGCATTAATATCTTTAGCAAAACTATTTATTCATGGAAAAATAATGGTTTTTAAATTACGTTTTTTGAAGTTCTTTTTCTTTCTTAATTTTTAGTTTGGCTTCTTTTTCTTGTGCCAATTTTTCTTTTTTTTCCTGTCGTTTTGTGGCATTGTTTTCTTTTTTAATCTTAGCCTCAATGCGTTGGGCTTTCTTAGCCTTGAGATCCTTTCGGTTTTGACTGTTTGTCAAAATTGTGCTTTGTAAAGGCTTGCGCCCACGATTTGATTTCTTTTGCGGTGATGTTGATTTCTGCAGTGGTCCGATACTGTCAATCATTGTCGTCAAAGTGCTGTTCCGAGCAGCTTTTGAAGTGGATGTCTTTTCAAAGCCACAAAAAATTTCTTCAAAGCCACAAAAACCTTAAAAGGGAAAAAAACTTAGTGCAATAAAATGTGGTGATTGTGAAGCTTATTACCATTTTTGGAGTTGAATATCTAGCAACTTCCTTTAGAGCATCAATAATTTGCATGTCTGTTAGACTACCAATCCCAGTAACAAATTTGTCCAGCTTTGAAATATATCGTGCTAAACTAGCATGCGGTATCTCACTGTCTCTGGCAGCCTTACGAATAGACACTTTTTCAAGTTTAACAGCTTTTACAGCTCGTAGCAAAACATTGAAGTCTTTTACGCCGTGGTCTGTTTTCCTCTGATGTCTTGTTGTCATTTTGTTCCAAACTATATCCGAATTACACCAAACACAACATTTTTAAGCAAAAGGCATTAAACTTTACGTACCGCCACTTTTTGTCAACTTGCCGTACTGCAGAACTGTATTTTTGGCGCAATTATATCGGGGAATTCATATCGATGGCTAACTATCGTTTGAATTATCGATATATCGTAGTTTTACATAGTATTATTTATTGTTTACAACTTGCATGTAATAGTCTAGTCACACTATGTGGGGTAACCTATCGAGTGAGCCAATAACCCCATTACTCCATAAAAGTGTTTCCACATGGTTAACCCTATTTTTCGGGTTATGTCAGTTAGCCTTTGTTTTGATATTCATTTGTGACAAAATTCAGAGGAAAATTTTAAAATATGGATAAAAAAGATATTGAAGCGTTGCTGATTGCTGTGGCTGACCATTATGATAAAACAATGGTAAGGCTGATGAGCTTAGCAGGAATGTCCATTGAATCCTTCCGGAACTTTAGAAGTCGTCCATCTCGGAGTGTTTGGACCTTGGTAATAAATTAATTAGTTTTCGCAGACATCTTGTTAATTTTTATTTAAACCAGCCACGATTTGGAACCTTTTGGGAGCAGGATGTACCCAATAATTCGGAAGAGTTCTTCAAGGAACATTTTCGCTTGGAAAAAAGAACTTTTGATACCCTAGTGGAACGCCTCCCAAACCTCCGAAAGAAGGACACGCCATTTCGTATGGCAATTCCTTTGGAAAAGAGAATAGCGATAGCCTTGTACACTCTTGGGTCCTCTGCTGAGTACCGTACGATAGCGTGTTTGTTTGGTGTGTCCAAGCCGATAGTGTGTCGAATTCTTCATGAGTTTACGCGGGAAGTTATTGTTAAACTTGCTCCGGAGTATCTTCCGCCTGTCTTTTTAACCCAGGAGGCCATTTTAGAAAACGTAAAGGGTTTTGAGGACATGGGTTTTCCACAATGCTTTGGAGCAATTGGCAAGTGCATATTGAAACTGTCGATTATATATACTTATACAAAAACTATTCCTAATAGATGGCTGCCACATCGAAGTGCGACCTCATGCTAAGGACGCTGTGGACTACCATAATTACAAGGGTTGGTATTCAACCGTGCTTTTTGCTATGGTCGACTATCGCTATAGATTTTCCTACATAAGCGTCGGCAGTCCGGGTCGGTGCCACGACTCAAAGATATTTGAGAATTCAAATCTTAAGCGGATTATCGAAGAGTCTGAGTTAATGGATGAACATTCCAGAATAATTAATGATGTCGAAGTCCCTGTGCTTATTTTGGGAGATTCGGCATTTCGTTTTTCGAAGAATCTTATGAAACCCTATCCGTTTTCCGTAGAAGCCAACGAGGAACAGAAGGCTTTCAATTACAACCTGTCAAAGACTAGAAGAGTAGTGGAGAATGCTTTTGGCCACCTCAAGGCACGATTTCGAAGGATCGGAAAAGGACTAGACAACAGAGTTGAAAAATCTTCCCAAATTATATCCTGTTGCTGCATCCTGCACAACTTCTGTATCGCCCACAACAGCTTTGTGCCAGAGTCATGGCAGCAAGACGCTGAATTAGTCCAAAGACAGGATACTCCGGAGCACGAGCTTTGGCTAGGAAATACAAATGAAAGAGCAGAAACGATACGAAGAGCCCTTGCAATGGAATTCTTAAATCGTAATGCCTAATTGCCTAATTGCTTGAATAAATAAAAAATTACTAAAAGAAATACTATTTTAATTTATTTATTTGGTATTAATCTTCGTCCGAGGCACGCGTCTGTTGTAAGCCCAGCACCTTGCGATGAAAATCGGCAGATTCTTTGGCAATTTCTTCCATTACTTCCAGCTTCCTTTTTTCAATTTGAAGGAATTCATCGTCCTTACTGGTTTTGCGACGCTTTGCCTGGGAGCCCGAGGGGCCATCAAAGTCAGCGGCAGTGGTCTCGTCCATTTCGTCGCCTTGCCCATCGCTGCCAAAGCTTGAGAAGTCTGCAAAAATATCAATTTATTGGTATATTTGAGTAATTCTTATGTTTACTGCGGTATGCGTTACCTGTGCTGTCAGTTGGGTGCACATCCACTGCTCGCGACCCTTGCATCAGGATAGCCACCCGCTCGAAATACTCCCATGTTGAGGGGGTACCCCCCCGAAGGTCCAACCTTCGCCAGTTCGACTCTGAAAGCAGGTCGAAGAACAAAAATGTTAATTTATGTTATGTGTATCCCTATTTAAAGTTACATACCTGTATTTTTTCTTAATGTTTTCCATTTTTTGTTTTACCTCCACATGTGAGGGGCCGAATTCCTTAAGGCTGTTGGCCATCTCCTTGTATATGTGCGTGTTCTTTCGCACACCACGAAAACCATCCATGTTATCTTGCCATAGATCGAAGAGAGTTAGCACGGCCTCATTCGACCACACAAATCGGGATCCTAATAATAATAAAGGCTTTAAACTAATTAATAAAATAATTAAATATATTTTCTTACCTTTTTGTGTCGACATGGTAATCAGAACAGCTTTGCTTAAATTTTTCACTAGGGATGAACCGTCAACGATAGGAAAACAAATACGAAATATACCAAATATACCAAAGACCCTAAATGTACCCTACTTTTTCCCTGCTCTAGTTGCCTATACAAAAACTATGTAAAAACAAGAAAGGAAGCTACCTTCGGCCAGCCGAAGCTTATATACCCTTGTAGATAAAAGAATACTCACTCGGTGCAGTTCCAGGGATTCCAGATTCAGCGTTTCGATTTATTTCAATTTTGTTTTTAAGTAGTCAAGAATCAAAACGCCTACTTCCTACAAAGTTACAATGAATTTTCTTATATTTGTTTGGGAGCCTTAAGATATAGTGGTCCGATCCGGCTGGCTCCGACATATGTACTACCTGCAATAGAAAGAAGACCTTCGGGAAAGTTTCATCGCGATAGCTTTAAAACTGAGAGACTAGTTCGCATAGAAACGGACAGACGGACAGACGGACAGACGGACAGACGGACAGACGGACAGACGGACAGACGGACATGGCTAGATAGACTCGGCTATTGGTGCTGATCAAGAATATATATACTTTATGTGGTCGGAAACGTCTCCTTCACTGCGTTGCAAACATCTGACTGAAATTATAATACCCTCTACAAGGGTATAAAAACAGGGTTTTGTCAATAACCCCATAACTCCATAACTCCATAACTCCACCCTAGTGGAAATAGGCCTTAAAATTACAAGCATTTTCTAAGCTTAAGATGACTCTAAGATCAGTTAAATTAGCAGACGCGGGTGTCTCAACTTACACGCTCAAAGTGTCTCAACTTACACAAAATGGGATGTTTCGGGAAAAAATTAATAACTTTTTTCTGACTGTCAAATTGAGCTAATTCTTTTTTTAATTTGTTAACACTTTAATTATTAATGTTTTAAACCTCTTACCAAGTTAGTTTTAGCACGTTATTAATTTTTAATAGATTTTTAAAAACAGTGGACAACAACTTTTTTGGTGCAAAATGGTACACGACTCTCACAGCTTAAATCTGGCTAGAGCCTGGCTTATAATGTTTTCCCCAAAAGTTTAGTCACTGAAAAGGACTACAAAAAAAAAAATAAAAATAATAAATTTTTTTAGTGGAAAAGTTTTGAGAAAATTGAGTGTCTCAACTTACAGACCGTCTCAACCTACAGACCTCTCCCCTATAGCCTATAAGAAATGTATTTACAATTGATTAAAAAATAGTTGACTTATTATAAATCTGTATGAATACCTGGTCACAGAAGGCCACATAAATTATAAGAAACTGATAGAACTCTCCAAAAGGGTATATTTTAAATGTTGCGTCCATTAGAAAATTACGGTTGATCTCCGGAATATTTTTTCGGATGTTATTCATTATATGATCAGAAGCAAAATAACTGTACGAAAAATCAGCACATTCATATGATCCTTTGTAAAACTCGAAAGATGAATTTTTATGTTTGGTATAGCTATAATTTTCCAAGACAGTCTTATTTTTATAAGCCATTATCACCTCATTCACATTTTTTGGAGGCTTAGGCATATTTGCATTTCTGATCTGTAGTAGATTTCGACGATGTTTGTTAAAGTTCAAATCAGAATCTTGCTGTCTTCGATGGTAAAATAGATCAGTTTTATTAAGTTAATTTTTTATGTATTATGTACAACTTACTTTAAAACGGCAGCATCGAAAATTTCTCTAACTTCAGAAATTTGCGAAGTAGTCTGTGAGCTGGTAACTTTTTCACAGTCGCCCTTTACTTGGGCGAGGAGTTTTTGGTCCTTGATTTCCGATTCTCGGTTTCCATGATTATGTTCCACAAAGGGCTCGCAGTAAAAGCATTTTTCGCCTTTGACATAGACGCGTGCCTTACAAGATTTCAATTGACAAGTATATGCAATCGAACCATTTACCAAAACTTTATTCCGAACATAAAGTTGGTGCTCCGTGATCGAATGCAACACTTTTTTGTCTCGTCTTTTTCCAGGAATCTTTTCAAATTCGCAGAATTTGCGATCGCTGCCTGAGGCCTCATTAGAGGATTCAGATGCTGTTTTAGGGTCATACATCATGTAGAGAGTATAAGTATTACAGCAAGTTTTGAACGGTTAGAACAGATATTTTTATAGTTATTTTTTAAAACTGATATTTTGACGGAACTTCCGCAACTATGTCTTTTTTGCAGTTATGGCGTTGGTGTTACCATGTTTTAAAAATAAGTGTTGGAAAGTTTGCTTGAAAAATTATTTGGCAAATCAATATAATGGCCCATCTACACTAGCACGAGCTTATATGGTTTTTGGACGCTTCCATGCACCTTCAAAATAAAAATTCATTGTATTTTTAGTTGCTGGCAGTGTTGGGATAGGTACTTCTTTTACCTAAACAAGGTGCAAGTTGTATGTACGTCAAAATAGCGTCGACCAGTTAGCAACGAAAGTGGAACGGTGGAATGTGGAACACTGGGGCCATTTTTATACCCTTGAAGAGGGTATTATAATTTTGGTCAGAAGTTTGTAACGCAGTGAAGGAGACGTTTCCGACCCCATAAAGTATATATATTCTTGATCAGGATCAATAGGGGAGTCGATATAGCTATGTCCGTCTGTCCGTCTGTCCGTCTGTATGTCTGTTTCAATACCGTTTGCGAGCTCAGTTTAAAAGCTAGCGCCTTGAAACTTTCACAGTCGTCCTAAAACATGTGTACGCAGATCAAGTTTGAAAGCCGACCCGATCGGACGTCTATATCCTATAGCTCCCATAGGAACAATCGGATATCGATTTCACAAAATGAAGATATTTCGCTCAGTGTAAGAGCTATTGACAAGAATCTTTCCAAATCGTATTTTTTTGTGCGTACCTTGATCAGGGTAAAAGCGCGTGCCGTCGGTACAATAGGGTGAAATCGATCAAAATTTGACGTTTTTCAGGATATTTCGCGCAAAATATTAGCTATTCCCATGAAACTTTCCAAATCGTATTTTTTTGTGCGTACCTTCATTAGGGTAAACGCGCGTGCCGATCGGGCGTCTATATCCTATAGCTCCAATAGGAACAATAGGGTGAAAAATTTTAAAATTTTATTTTTTCAATTATAAAATATTTTGTTGTTTATTAATGCATGTTGCTAGTCTAGTCAAGTTTTAATTCGTAAAATCTGCAAGGGTATTAAAACTTCGGCTTGCCGAAGTTAGCTTCCGTCCTCGTTAATTTTTAATTTTCTCGCTATTTGGGGGCTGAATTGAAAAATGTTTGATGCAAAATTGTTTAGAATTAAAATATCTATCGATCTTTATAGGTTGGGGCCAAATCCGAGGTCTGCAAGTTTTTCAAAAATGCATTTAAAAAATTGGGTATCCACCATTTGGTTAACTGCTCCCCTCACAGAGGTTGTGCCAATATGCACGCTAAACCAGGTTATTAGGCGTTAATTCAAGCTTCTTGTCTGAAAGTTTCATCAAAATCAAACCCACAGATTTTGAGTAAAACGCCTAACAGTGAACCAACCTCGGATTTTTCCCATACAAAAAAGGGGGCCAAAAATTAATTTGTCTGGGGCTCCACTCATAGAGGTTGTGCCAACATGCACGGTAAATGGGCAGATTGGGGATCCTCCTAAGAACGTTTTGTGAAAATTTCATGAAAATTAAACCCACAGTTTTCGAGAAAATTGATTTACAGGTGCGGGTTAAATGGTCAAATTTTGAAATTGGCCGCTTCCCGCTGACTGCGCCAGCGAGACCACCTTACAGCCATGACATCAACCATGTTAATATCCATACATTTTCTATGCAAACTTTAAGTAATCAATACAGCTCTCACAGAGGTTGTGCCAACTTGCACGGTATATCAGTAGAAGGGGCATCATTATAAGTAATTTCTTTCTTAATTTCAACGAAATCAAACCCACAGATTTCGAGAAATTCAAGTAATTAAAACTAGGGTTTTCACACTATCCAGCCAGCGAGATAGCGTGCGAAGCCATGACATAAACCAAAATCTAGGTATTTATATCGGCAAGTACGACCTACAACACTTAATTTAACCATGTGGCAACTCTTGTATTTCGCGGTAATTTGCAAAAATTTCAGTTGTGCAGTGCATAGCAGATAATCAAGATGGCTCGTCAGATTTCAATGGTAAAATGCGTAAGAATTCTCTAAGCTAATACATATATAATATTATATACTAATTATTTAATCTGTTT